CACTTTCAAACAGTCTGTTATGACCTCATGGGCACGAACAACTGTCAGACTAGATATCTCCATCTCATGGGCCACTCTAGATATTTCATCTCATCGCGGAGAAATTGTCATTGCTCACTATCTTCATTAGGCATAGGAGCGGCCTGATATCAATCAGAGGACAAAGAAGACCGGGATGGAGCTGCAATCCATAATGTGAGAGTGTGTCTGTATACTGCGGTCAAAGAAGCAGTTGGGGAATGCAGAATGGAAGATTGGTGATCGAGGCCTGCGAAATGAGGAACCTCTTCTGCTGCGCAAAGGTTGTTGTCAAGAGCGCCCTTGCAAGGCAGGAGAGGCACTTCACACAAAGGACAGCCACATACTATCCAAGAGCTGACATGGAGTTCAAAGCCATTGCAGAGGCAGCAGCAGTGCAAATAATTGCCACACCCACACCATGATGTCTTCATTGCTCAAAGCAGATCAGGGTTTTTTAACAGCGATTGTAAAACATATGGGTCAAGTATGCCAAACTTGAACTGAAATGATACATATAGGCATAAGCATAATGGCTAATACAGTATCATCATCACAGCAAGGTGCTGCCAGGAAGAATAACTCAGCTAATAATATCTTCACAGTAACCATTTGGCGCAAATACTAAAGCTTCATGCTCAAATACCAATTGTAGTGTTTGGACTTTAGAAATCATTTATAGCAGAGAAGTGAAATTCTTCTGTTCTCTTTCTCTCCGAAAGACAGCAATAACTCTCAACTGTAACTTATCAATAGTTCACTTTTGGAATGACACAAACATGCAAGGCCTACAAAAAGCGATTTTCATCCATGATATATTAACTATAAATAAGACTTAGCCACAGGGAATTATGCATGCAACACCTAATCAGCCAGGTCGCTATCCACCCTGAATACTCCAGTGCCTTGAGGAAATTCGAAGTAGGCACTATATCCAACTACTGATAAACAGCAACTAACAACCATAAGGCTTACCTCACACTTCTCTAATTCTAGTGCACGCTGGAGTAATCAGGATAACAACACATCTAATGCATATCAAGAAGATGAGAGCATAACCATGGTAAGTTAAGTGCTGCGTAACAACAACAGCCCTCACGCCAACTGATATCATAGCATCAAGTACTCTAAACATTCTCCATCTTGGCGATAAGCAATATCCATTGATAATTTTAGTGAATGCAGTAGGATGAGGCCTCTCACCGGTATGGGTAACCAAGTCAAAGATGCCGTGTTCATCGATTACCTTTCCATGGCTTATGATGAATATCCCTGTTCTTCATTTTAGTAATAAATTCCTCGGCTTTCATGGAATCACCATGATTAAAATAACCCTCAACCATGCACATGTAAACTTCTGTGTCAAGTGGTACTCCCATATCAATCATCTCATTGAATTTTTCCATCGCATCATCCATCCTGCCCATCTTGCAAAATGCAGATATCACAATTAAATAAGTGAATCCATTAGGCTTCACACCCTGCTTCAACATGTCTTCAAAGAAAAGCATGGCCACATCCATCCTGCCATACTTAGCATATGCCTTAATCAGTATGTTGAAACAACGGAGGTCGGGTACAACTCCATCTCTTGCCATCATCTCACAGAGATCAATCATTTTAACAAGGGATCCTTCTATAGCGTACCCAAGGAGCATAATAGAGTATGAGACTGTATCTGGTTTTCGGCCACTCACGGCCATGGAATAAAATGTTTCCTCAGCTTCTTTGATTCTTCCATGCTTGCAAAGGTAGTCCATGACTGAGGTGCAAGTAACAACGCTTGGCATAACACCTTGGCTTCTCATCACTTTCAACAACCTAAAGGCTTCTTTCAGCTGACCCGTAGTTAAAAATCCTTGGATCAAGCTATTATATGTTACAACATCCGGTTGGACACTATTATGAACCATCGATCGAAGGACCACCTCTGCCTTGTCCATTGCTCTTGCTTTGCACAGTGCATTAATAACAGAGTTATACGTCACCACATCGGGAACAAACCCTTGTTGTATCATTTCATGGAACAGATCACATGCTTTGCTTATTTCACCCTCCTTAAAGAAACCATTGATTACCAAGTTGTATGAGACCACGTTGGGGGAATGGTCAGCACCTTTTTTGGCCATCATCTGGAGCAGGTCAAGCGCACACTGGCTCCTTCCGTTGTCGCAGAAGCTCTTGAGAATAACTGAGTAGGAGATGGCATCAGGCAGGTTATCACTCACCCTATGGAGCAGCAGGTCCAGAGCTTCCTCTGTCCGCTTCATGTCACAGAAGCACTGCAATAAACTGCTGTAGGTAATGACGTCCGTCGTGATGCCTGTCTTGAGAAGGCATCCGAAGAAGGCAGGCCCTAGGTCTGGGCGGCATGCTCGGTGGCAGCAGTTAATTAGTATGTTGTAGGTGTAAATGTCAGGTGCTATCCGGTGGCGGTTGAAGAGATCGATGGCGAGGGCGGGGCCATCAGTACAGGCGGTTGAGGGCCGCGCACGCGCGAGGGCAGAAAATAAGCCGCCGAGTGCGCGTGCTGAAACCGGGACGGGTTGGCGCAGCATTTCGTCGAACAGTTGGTGCGCGAGCTCCGGCCAGAGCGTCCCAGAGCCCAGATGATATTTGAATTCATCCAGCAGCTCGCTGACTCGTGAGGAGACGGGGCTGGAGAAAGAGCGGGGCTGGAGGCGCGACATTGCCGCCGTCTAGTTCCTGCAGCGGCAGTGAATGCGGGCGGCAAAGACCAACTCCTTACTCTGGTGGGAGGAGGACGGACGGAAGAGACACTGGACAGAGTGGTCTCGCTCGCTTCTTCCTGCAGCGACGGTGAGTGAGGGCGAGCGCCGGCGAGGACCGACCACCGGCGCGTCCAGCGGCTGGAGGAAGGAGGAGGGAGGCGGGATTTGGATTTTGGATGGAGACGGGGGTTCGATTTGGAGCTCTGCGTGGGCATCTCATTCTCATTTCACAGTCAGTTCACGCACAGCTCGTTCACATGAATCTACGATCTACCCACCGCTCGTTCAGAGGGCTTTTTTTTTCCACGCGCCCTGTTTTTCTTTCCTTTTTTATTTTCTGTTTGCGTTTTGTTCTTCTTTAAATAATTCGGGATTACAGAAAGGTTCCAAAATTGTCAACGTGAAATTTGAAAAAATAAAAAGTACTCCCTCCGTAAACTAATATAAGAGCGTTTAGACTACTACTTTAGTGATCTAAATGCTCTTACATTAGTTTACAGAGGGAGTAATAATCATAAAATGTCCATGGATACAAAAAAAATCGTAATTTTTTAAAAATGATAATATATTTAAAAAAATTCCATGAGTTTCAAAAATATTTCGTGAATTCTAAGAATGTTCATGAATTTGTAAAAAATCTCGTGTATTCAAACAATGTTCCAATTTTATATAAAAAATCTCAAAAACAAAAAATTATCTGTGTGTTCAGAAAATATTCGTGAATTCAGATTTTTTTATATTTAAAAACATGTTCGTAAGAGTTAAAAAATGTGCGCAAATTTCGAATATTTTCCCAAATTTCAAAAAAGTTCATCGACTCAGAATTGTCCGCTGATTCAAAAATATGCTAATGAGTTTCTAAAGAAAATCTTTAAATTTGTAAAAAGTTTCACAAACTTTTATAAAAATAATTATGAATTTGAAAAATGTTAATTGTTTCAAAAAATTACGAATTTGAAACATGTTCATGATTTTCAAAACATTTCACTATTTATAGGATGTACACATATTTGAAAAATCTTCACAAAATGAAATTAAAAAGGGAAAAGATAAAGAAAAGACAAATGAAAAGAAAAAAAAGATGAAAGGGAGGAAAAAACCGAATGAAAAGACAAGAGAAAAAAAGAAATTATGGTTTGGGGAGGCTTAGAACCTTCTCCAAACCGAAAACTAGCCATGTTGGGCTGGCCCAAATGTACGCAGCATGGGAGCAGGGTGCCCGCGCGGTCGCTAACTAGTGACCCCCTACAACTAATAAGAGCATCTACAACTGAACCCCCTACTCCCCCCATTTGTTCGAGTGGATAGCCCGAACACTGTCCGGACCAAAAAGCTACATACAACCGTAGCCTCATACTTGGCACAAATGTCCGGACTGTCTAGCGCCCCTCAAACCCTGCCCATATATGGGCAAATATGAGGGGTCCGAACACGCAAACGCGGCCGACGGGCCATACTGGCCCACCTGGCCCCACATAAACCCCACCCCATCCCCATCCGAACCAAACCCTAGCCTCACCGTCTCAGACAACGGATCTGGCACTGAGGCTAACCCCATTAACCGGGGCACACTTGCCGTCATGACATATTCGAGCTCCGCCCACGACGATGAGGAGCTCGCCCTTCACCGGTCGCGGATGGACAGGGATAGGAGCTCGAGTTCCACGGCCTCCCGGTGGTCCGGAGGGGCAGCTCCAGCTCCACGCTCACCCGCGCCGGCCCGTTGCACTCTCCATCCTCCCCGGTCAGGCGGCAGGGCGAGCAGTGCGAAGTAATACACAATCAGACTTATATTTTATTTTTACCACCATTTCCTAATATTAGAGACCGTTTCTTGTAAAAAAAACATCATATATTCATGGACAAAGATGGGTACTTCAGTGCTGTAATTTTGAGAATTCTGTTGATCACAGAAACATGCAGCAGCAGCTATGGACGCATGGATATCATTACCGGAAGTTTAAAACTCGACACTTGCAGTCAATTGATCATAAAGTCTGCACTTGAATATTTGTCCAGAAATGAAAATTCAACAACAGTTTACTGTTAATTGTTAAATGCAGCTAAAGATTTCGGCGGAACAGATATCATTACTGGAAGTTTAGAACTCGACAGTTGCAGTCATTCGATCATGCACATTTACAACGCAACAGCTAAAGGTCTTGGCGGAACCATGAATGCTAGGAAAGATACGACGGATAGAACTGTTTGCCATATTCGAATACACCCCCTGGCTGTCGATCCAATCGCTTACTCGAGCAGTCGCTGATGATGACAATGATAAGTATCTGCAATACATATAAAATAAATAATTAAGCACTCGCCTCTCCTTGCAGAGACTGAAGAACCAACGAATTGTATATTTCAGGGAAAGCAAGTTTGTTTGGTACAAATAGAAAAGAATGAATGAAAATAACAAATATTTAAGCGTACAACATGTACAAAACAAGCACACATAACTGAAGGGCCGTTTAAGGCCCTAGAAAGCTGCTATATGGAACATGAAACAAAATCGGTGCCGAGAAAATGGTTTAGCTGTGACATATTGGGTGCACTAGACAACTTAGTTCAATATTTAAGAAGTCTTGAAAACAATTAACAGCATTTATACATGTATATACCATGTCATAAATTTTTAGATCCAAATTCTGACATACTCCCTCTGTAAATTAATATAAGATCGTTTAGATCACTAAGTACAACTCAAGAAATGAAAAGGACAAACCAGTTTGAATAGTACCACCAGGATTACAATTTGGTACTATTCATATCTTGATTTGTCTTTTTTGTTTATGAAGTTGTGAATCGCATTTGGATACTTAATTTTGTACATTCTGAATTAAACTACCACACATGAAAGCTCTGAAAACCTATTTAAGCATATAGATGGCAAAAGGAAGAGATATAGAAATTAAAAAAAAACTCTAGGATAAAATGGCATATCCCTTCTACTTTTTGTCCTCTTCTTTGCTTTGTTGCTACAAGTACCCATCTAAACTACTCCCTCCATCCGTAAATACTTGTCGGAGAAATGGATAAGGAGTATTTGACTGATTATTGGCACATGCACTGGTCAAGCTGTCCCAGTGCTCACACCCCGGGTCTGGTTTTGAACAGCGAGTGTTACACACATGAGGGAAGTATGCCAAACGTAAACTGAAATGATACATACAGGCATAAGCATAATGGCTAATGTAGTATCATCATCACAGCAAGGTGCTGCCAGAGGAAGCAATCAGCTAAATAATATCTTCATAGTAACCATTTGGCGCAATACTAAAGCTTCATAATCAGTGGCCAATTGTAGTGTTTGGACTACAGAAATCACTTATGGCAGAAGAGTGAACTTGTTCTGTTCTCTTTCTCCTCGAAAGACTGCAATATGAATGACCGTTGTACTGAAAAAATCCCCTGAAAAATGCAGGTCGGCACTGACTCATTGTACCTAAATGCATGACCAGTACCTAACTGCACCCACACCGTTCACCTCGCCCGTGCAGCCTGGTTCACCATGACTTCCGGCAAAACAGCCAGCAAGCCGTTAGTTTCAATGAGCATCAGCATTGAGGTGTCCTAGTCCCTTTAGACAAGCAAGGATCCCCGCTTCCTCCACGCTAGCACACACAGGAACACCAGCCATGCATGATCTCGGACAACGATGCCCACTCCTGCAGGCTTAGAGATTGCATCCTAGCCTGCATCACTATGCACGATATTATTCCAATGATGCTATCCACTTGCCGAACCGATCTGGCTCTTGAGGTGGAGCAGCTAGTCAGGCCCTGGTGCCGGAAAAGCTTCTCCTCCGGTAGCTTTACAAGGAACTGCCCTCTGGAAGCCGTCACTACAGGTTTGACTGCATTTCTTATAAAAAAATAAAAAAATTATTACTTTTGTTCCATACAACATATTATCTTCAAATATTATTGTCAAAAGTATTACTGTGAAGAATGTGTCCAAGGTCCCAAGCGAAGGCCCGCATCTGGCAGTATACTCATCCAGCCAAGCTCGAGTTGTGCTAGAGATCCTTCAGATATAATTAGGCTGAAGCAGCCTGTTGAATCAGTGTACTTCTTTACTCACCATCAGCTTCAGGTGTTGTAACTTATAAGGTGTGTCTGGGATCATGTTCCGATCCTTATTGTATAGTATAAGGCCGCAGATGATTGTACACATTGCTTTGATTTTAATGGCCAGACTTCCATCAAGTTAGATGCTATCAGTATATATTGTTCGAGCATACATTTTGTACGAAACAACTACACGCGAAAGCTCTGAAAAGCTATTTAGACAACATGAAAAGAAACAAGTGCTGACAAAAATGGTTTGTCAGTCAGGTAAAAAAAAGGTTTCATGGTGACAAAGTAATTTTGGTTTTCGGGAACATATTCATGCAGATATATATTCATATAGCTGGCAGAAGGAAGAAATGAAAAAAGAAGAAAACGGAGCAAGTCCATTGCATTGGTTTGGTCCTCCTCTTTACTTTGTTGGTACAGGTTCCCATCTAAACCATTTGCCTGATCATTGATAGATAACGCTGGTCATGATGTCATAAGTGCTCACAACCAGGTCAGGATATGTAGCATCAAGTGTAAAATACAGGAGGAAAGTACGCCTAACTTAAACAGAACAGGCATACCATTTGACCCAATACAAGGGCTTTGCAGTGTTTGAACTACAGAACATGAAAGAAAAGTGAAATTGTTCCCTTTTTCCTTGAATGGCAGCAATAGTTCACTGGTCTTTTATCAGTAGTTCACTATTTTGGAATGGGGCAAACATAGCAAGGCCAAAGCCAAGCCCTTGTAGTCCATGATATATCAAGTACGAAGAGCACACTTGGACACTAAAGGAATTATGCATGCAACACCTAATCAGCCAGCTCACAATCCATCCTAAATATTTCAGTGCCTCGACAAAATCCAAACTAGACAACTATCCCACTGCCAATAAACAACAACTAACAACCATAAGGCTTAATTCACACCTCAAATTTTGGTCCAAGTAAGGACAATCAAAATAGAACGCATTTGGAGCATATCAAGATGATGAGAGCATAACCATGCAAGTAAAAAGTGCTGTGTAATAACATAGCATCCAGTACTCCAAATGCGTCTTTTGTCTTGATGACTAGGCAATATCCGTCGATCATTTAAGTAAATGTAACAAGATCAGGCCTCTCACCAGTACTTATGACCATGTCAAAGATATTGTGTTCTTCAGTTACCCTTCTGCGGCCTATGACGAATATCCTTGTTCTTCATTTCAGTAATCAACTAGAAAATTGCCCGTGCGTTGCAACGGGAGTATAAACATTCTAGTAGATTAGCCCCTGACTGCACGTCTATTATTGTATTAATGTTTTTGAGAAGCCATGTATATTATTATATTGATACGCTAAAATCTTACCAAATCTTTGTATGCAATCGCCATGATTTATCTGCGATTTTATTGTTAAGCACTTATTTGGTAAGAATTTAATGAGTTGCCAACAAAATATGTGTTTATTTTGGTAAGATAATAAATATGAGACAATTGAATGGATGGGAGAAAATCAAATATGGGAGGAAAAAATCAAAGAGGATAAGGAAAAAGTGGGACGTATATATGGAAGGTTAGACGAAAGAGATGTGAAATGGGAACCTTACGTTCTTTTTAGTAGTAGAGATTCCTTGCCTTTCTCCATCTTGGCTAGTACTCTGAATGCTTTTTCCATCTTGGCGATAAGCAATATCCATTGATAATTTTAGTGAATGCAGTAGGATGAGGCCTCTCACCAGTATGGGTAACCAAGTCAAAGATGCCGTGTTCATCGATTACCTTTCCATGGCTTATGATGAATATCCCTGTTCTTCATCTTGGTAATAAATTCCTCGGCTTTCATGGAATCACCATGATTAAAATAACCCTCAACCATGCACATGTAAACTTCTGTCTCAAGTGGTACTCCCATATCAATCATCTCACTGAACTTTTCCATCGCATCATCCATCCTGCCCATCTTGCAAAATGCAGATATCACAGTTAAATAAGTGAATTCATTAGGCTTCACACCCTGCTTCAACATGTCTTCAAAGAAAAGCATGGCCACATCCATCCTGCCATACTTAGCATATGCATTAATCAGTATGTTGAAACAACGGAGGTCGGGTACAACTCCATCTCTTGCCATCAGCTCACAGAGATCAATCATTTGAACAAGGGATCCTTCTATAGCGTACCCATGGAGCATAATAGAGTATGAGACTATATTTGGTTTCGGCCATTCACGGCCATGGAATAAAATATTTCCTCAGCTTCTTTGATTCTTCCATGCTTGCAAAGGTAGTCCATGACTGAGGTGCAAGTAACAACGTTTGGCATACTACCATGGCTTCTCATTACTTTCAACAACCTAAAGGCTTCTTTCAGCTGATCCGAAGTTAAAAATCCATGGATCAGGGTATTATATATCCTACTATCATGTGGTTGGACACCATTACGAACCATGTGTCGAAGGATCACCTCTGCCTTATCCATTGCTCTTGCTTTGCATAGCGCATTGATTATGGAGCTATATGTCACCTCATTAGGCACAACCCCCTGTTGTATCATTTCGTGGAATAGATCACATGCTTTGCTTACTTCACCCTCCTTAAACAAGCCATCCATTACCATGTTGTATGCCATCACGTCGGGAGAGTGGTCACCACCTTTTTTGGCCATCACCCGGAGCAGGTCAAGCGCAAGCTGGCTCCTCCCACTGTCGCAGAAACTCTTGAGAATCACTGAGTAGGAGATGACATTAGGCAGGTCATCGGGCATCCTATGGAGCAGCACGTTCAGAGCCTCCTTTGTGCGCCTCATGTCACAGAGGAACTTGAATAGGCTGCTGTAGGTAATGGCGCTCATTGTGATGCCTGTCTTGAGGAGGCAGCCAAAGAAGGCAGGCCCTAGGTCTGGGCGGCATGCTCGGTGGCAGCAGTCAATTAGTATGTTGTAAGTGTGAACGGTGGGTCCTGTCATCCGGCGGCGGCCTGCTCGGGCCATATGGTTGAAGAGATCGACGGCGAGCGCAGGGCCATCAGTGCAGGCGGTTGAAGGCGGCGCACGCGCGAGTGCAGCAAATAAGCCGTTGAGTGCACGCGCCGATACTGGGACTGGTTGGCGCAGCATTTCGTCGAACAGTTGGCGCGCGAGCTCTGGTCTGAGCGTCCTGGAGTCCAGATGGCCTTGGAGTTCGTTCAGCAGGTCGTAGGCGCGTGAGGAGAAGGAGCTGCAGAAAGAGCGGACCTGAAGGCGCGGCATCGTCGCCGTCTAGTTTCTGCAGCGGCGGCGAATGCGAGCTCCAAGGACCAAATCCTTACTCTGGTGGGAGGAGGACGGACGGAGGAGACACTGGACAGAGTGGTCTCGCTCGCTTCTTCCTGCAGCGACGGTGAGTGAGGGCGAGCGCCGACGAGGACCAACCACCGGCACGTCCAGCGGCCGGAGGAAGGAGGACGGAGGTGGGATTGGATTGCGGGATTTGGATTTTGGATGGAGACGGGGGTTCGATTTGGAGCTCTGCGTGGGCATCTCATTCTCATTTCACAGTCAGCGCTACAACTTGTCTATCTCACATGCATCTACGATCTACCCAACGCTCCTTCAGAGGTTTTTTTTTTTTTGCCACGCGCCCTATTTTTCTTTCCTTTTTTTATTTTCTGTTTGTGTTTTGTTCTTCTTTAAAATAACTCGGGATTACAGAAAGGTTCCAAATTCCACAAAAGTTGAATTGTTAAAAATAAAAATCAATAAATCATAAAATGTTCATGATTTTTTTAAATAATATATTTAAAAATTGTCCACGAGTTTAAAAACAATGTTTGGAATTCGAAGAATGTTCATGAATTTGTAAAAATGCGTGCGTAATAAAAAAATGTTCCAACTTTATAAAATAAATCACGAAAACAAATGTTTGTGTGTTCACAAAATGTTCATGATATTTTAAAACATGTTCGTAAAAAATTAAAAATATTCGTAAATTTAACAAATTGTTCCCAATTTTTTTTTAAAAAATCATCGATTCAAAAAATTAATGAGTTTCAAAAGTTTTTTTAAAATTTTCTAAAAAAAATTATGAATTTGAAAAATGTTAACTATTTCAAAAAAATACGAATTTGAAACATGATCATGATTTCCAAAAAAATCACTATTTAAAAGATGTTCACATATTTGAAAAAAGTTCACAAAATGAAAATATAAAAAGGGAAAATGACAGAAAAAAGGGAAAAGGCAAGCAAAAAAGAAACTAAAGAACAAAAATGAAAAATGAAAAAAAAAGAATGAAAAAATAAATTACGGTTTGGGAAGGCTCTAGAACCTTGTAAAAACCGGAAACGAGCCATGTTGGGCTGGCCCAAATGTACGCAGCGTGGAAGCAGGGGGTGTCTGCGCGGTCGCTAATCAGTGACATGCACGCCAAATAGGATCCCTGGGGCTGAACCCTGTCCTGGCCATATGCACCTACACCAGCAAGCGATCCAATAAAAGGTCATGACGAGTCGGCCCGAAGGCCTTGGCTCGAGAATCTTCTTGGCACGTGGGCTAAGAGGGCCGACCCATCATGACAAGACTATTGGTCGGCACACATTAAAAGGCTCAAACGGCTCTGAAAAACGCTAAAGTTAAGGCCTCTTTTGGTTTGGAGGAATTTCATAAGAATTCTAGAGGATAGGATTCTTATAGGATTTTTTTCTTTAGAGCCCTTTGGTTTATAGGAATAGATTCCTATTCCTACATAGGATTGGTTTCTATCCTTCACATTTCATAGGAAAATAAAAATGAGCCTAGACTCAATGGAAAAATTCCTTTGGTGTCAACCAAATAAAATCTCGTTTCCTATTCCTACTCATAGGATTTGAGATACATGCCATCTCATTTCCTACAAAATTCCTATTCCTACGATAATCCTATCCTATGAACTAAAAGAGGCCTAAAAGGGCCAAAACAACTCTAAACAGTTTGTGTCAGACCGACTTTAAGGCATGGCTTTGAGGATCAACCTTGTTTTATGGAGGGACGAAGGTCGGTCCGTCTCTTTTATTCGCATGTCGTGTCGGGCCAAAAATTCATGCCCACAGGTCGACCTTAAAAGCACAACCCATATGATCAGGTCTGGGTGAACAAACTGAAACTCCAACGCGGTCCACCGAAACGGACATCACCAAGTATCTGTAGACACACCTGGACATGTCTACAGACAAAAATATGGATGAAGGCCATTCAACCATAGTCACCAAATGTCCCTTCCTTTTCTAAAGAATGAATAAAAGTAGACCAAATGACCGTCTCTGGTCACCCTAACAAATGTATCTAAATTAATAATAATTCAACCATACACTTAGATCCAAAAGCACTCGTCGAAAGATGTTCAACAATATGAAAGATGTTAATAAGTTTTTACTTCTCCGGCCCATATTAAGTGTAGTCGCTCAGGCGGATGCATATAGTTGTATTTTAGTGCTAAATATATCCGTTTGAACAACACTTAATATGGGACGGAAGGAATAGATTTCATCTATCCAAAATGTGGCCATCTTCTCAAGTTTCCTCTCCTCAAGCTCGAAGTTCTTGATAGGTAATGATCCAGTTGACATGGTCACTGAGTTTCTATTGGGTAACGCGGTAATTTCAAAAAAAAATATCCTACGCACACGCAAGATCATGATGATGCATAGCAATGAGAAGGGAAGAGTGTAGTCCACGTACCCTCGTAGAGCGTAAGCGAAAGCGTTATGACAATGCGGTTGATGTAGTCGTATGTCTTCACGATCGACTGATCCTAGTACCGAAAGTACGACACCTCCGCAATCTGCACACGTTCGGCTCGATGACGTCCCACGAACTCACGATCCATCAGAGTGTCGAGGGAGAGCTTCGTCAGCACGACGGCGTGATGACGGTGATGATGATGCTACCGGAACAGGGCTTCGCCTAAGCACCACTACGATATGACAGAGGTGGATTATGGTGGAGGGGGGCACCGCACATGGCTAAGGGATCAATGATCAACTTGTGTGTCTACGGGGTGCCCCCTGGCCACGTATATAAAGGATGGAGGGAGGAGGAGGCTAACCCTCATAGGGCGCGTCCAAAGTGTGGAGTCCTACTAGGACTCGATTCCACCTACCACATGGAATAGGAAAAAGGGAAGGGAGAACGAGAAGGAAGGAAGGGGGTGCCCCCTTTCCCTAGTCCAATTCGGACCAGTCCATGGGGAAGGGGCGCGACCACCCTTGTGGCCTTTCTCTCATTTCTCGTACGGCCCATTAAGGCCCAATACGAATTCCCGTAACTCTTCGGTACTCCGAAAAATACCCGAATCACTCGGAACATTTCCAATGTCCGAACATAGCCTTCCAATATATTGATCTTTACGTCTCGACCATTTCGAGACTCCTCGTCATGTCCCCGATCTTATCCGGGACTCTGAACAAACTTCGGTCATCAAATCACATAACTCATAATACAAATCGTCACAGAATGTTAAGCGTGCGGACCCTACGGGTTTGAGAACTTTGTAGACATGACCGAGGCTCATCTCCGGTCAATAACCAATAGCGGAACCTGGATGCTCATATTGGTTCCTACATATTCTACGAAGATCTTTATCGGTCAAACTGCATAACAACATACGTTGTTCCCTTTGTCATCGGTATGTTACTTGCCCGAGATTCGATCGTCAGTATCTCAAAACCTGATACGTCTCCGTCGTATCTACTTTTCCAAACACTTTTCGCCTTGTTTTGGACTCTAACTTGCATGATTTGAATGGAAATAACCCGGACTGACGCTGTTTTCAGCAGAATTACCATGGTGTTATTTATGTGCAGAAACAAACGTTCTCGGAATGACCTGAAACTTCACGGAGCAACTTTTCAGAAAATATGATAAATACCTGCAAAAGATGAAGGCCAGGGGCCCACCACCTGTCCATGAGGGTGGGGGGCGTGCCTGCCCCCCTAGGGCGCGCCCCCTACCTCGTGGGCCCCCCTGATGCCTCTCCGACTCCAACTCCATATATTGCGTTTCAGGGAGAAAAAACCAGAGAGAAGAATTCATCGCGTTTTACGATATGGAGCCGCCGCCAAGCCCTAAAACCTCTCGGGAGGGCTGGTCTGGAGTCCGTTCGGGGCTCCGACGAGGGGAATCCGTCGCCATCGTCATCATCAACCATCCTCCATCACCAATTTCATGATGCTCACCGCCGTGTGTGAGTAATTCCATCATAGGCTTGCTGGATGGTGATGGTTTGGATGGGATCTATCATGTAATCGAGTTAGTTTTGTTAGGGTTTGATCCCTAGAATCCATTATGTTCTGAGATTGATGTTGCTATGACTTTGCTATGCTTAATGCTTGTCACTAGGGCCCGAGTGCCATGATTTTAGATCTGAACCTATTATGTTTTCATCAATATATGAGTGTTCTTGATCCTATCTTGCAAGTCTATAGTCACCTATTATGTGTTATGATCCGTTAACCCCGAAGTGACAATAATCGAGATACTTACCGGTGATGACTGTAGTTTGAGGAGTTCATGTATTCACTATGTGTTAATGCTTTGTTCCGGATCTCTATTAAAAGGAGGCCTTAATATCCCTTAGTTTCCGTAAGGACCCCGCTGCCACGGGAGGGTAGGACAAAAGATGTCATGCAAGTTCTTTTCCATAAGCATGTATGACTATATTTGGAATACATGCCTACATTATATCAATGAACTGGAGCTAGTTCTGTGTCACCCTAGGTTATAACTGTTACATGATGAACCGCATCCAGCATAATTCTCCATCACCGATGCATTGCCTACGAGCTTTCCATATATTGTTCTTCGCTTATTTACTTTTCCGTTGCTATTGCTATCATCACTACAAAATACCAAAAACACTACTTTTGCTACTATTACCTTTTGCTACCGTTACCACTACTATCATATTACTTTGCTACTAAACACTTTGTTGTAGATATTAAGTTTCCAGGTGTGGTTGAATTGACAACTCAGCTGCTAATACTTGAGAATATTCTTTGGCTCCCCTTGTGTCGAATCAATAAATTTGGGTTGAATACTCTACCCTCGAAAACTGTTGCGATCCCCTATACTTGTGGGTTATCAAGACCATTTTCTGGCGCCGTTGCCGGGGAGCATAGCTCTATTCTTTGAGTCATTTGGGATTTATATCTGCTTATCATTATGAAGAACTTGAAAGATCCAAGAACCAAGATTTATCCCTCAACTACGAGGGGAGGTAGGGAACTGCCATCTAG